AGACACACACACACACACACACACACACACACACACACACACACACACACACACACACACACACATTTTATACGTTTTATAACAAAATATGATGCTCTTACGTGATAACTCGGCATGATGTTTTCGACACTTTTGAATAATTAATAATTAATAAAAAAATAAATAAAGATGTTAAATCGTCAGTTCTGCGACGAATATCTTGAATTTTGAATTCAATACTACTATCTCATGAATTTCTTGCGCACAATAGAACTCGACGTAAGTAAATTAGCGAAACGCTAATTCGACTCGTGCATGGGGAGAGGAACTTTGAAACTTTAATTTCCTAAACTCTGCCGGTCTCCGCAATTGCTTTCAGTCATTGAAAATCGCGACAGTACATAAAACAAAATCTTCAGTACATGTGAATTAGCTTGCTCAGTATGCGTAAGATGAACATTGTCGGAAATAAAGATTTTTCAAATTCATAGAAATTTACAATTTCTAAGAATTTTATGTTTTCTTCGAGAATCGGATATTTTCTTAAAATCCCTGAAATACAGAAGCGAGCAATGCTCAGTGATTATTTTCAGAAATTAAAAATTTCTAAAAATTTTATTTATATTTTTTTTTCGAGAATTTAACATTTTCTGAAAGATTGTAAATATTGCAGAAGCGGGCGATGTCTCAACGGGATTATTTTCAGAAATTAAAAATTTTTTAAAATTTTATTTCTTTTCGAGAATTTGACATTTCCTAAAAGAGAAAATCAATAAATATTGCAGAAGCGAGCTTAACAGTTATTTTCAGAAATTAAAAATTTCTAAGAATTTTATCTCTTTTTATTCGAAAATGGGACATTTTCTTAAATAGACGGGCGATGCACTACGGGTATTAACGGCAAAAATGACAAAAGTGATTCGTGCGCTGTATTAACGAGCGTGTCTAACGGAGGTTAACGCCGTGCTGTTCTCTTTAACCGGGTCCGCAGGCCGCAGGGTTGAGCCTTTGCACTCACGAAGTTCAGATAACGAGGCAATTTCATCAAAAAGATAGGATTCTACGTGCGCCGTCGATTATACCGCTTCGATTAAACTTGGGGTTAATTTAACTTTTTTCCTGGGACCTCCCGGATCGAGTATTTCTAAGTTTCTCATTCAGGCTTCGGTAGACGATAAACGCGCGTTTAATCACTGTGTTTTATTCGCTCAGTACTTAACAGGCGAGATCTCCGATAGATTTAGAAAGAAAAGGCGACGTAAGCTACTTATGCAAAACCGACTATTAATGGTTATTAAAAGAATCGTATTCCCATTTGTATGAAGAATACCGGTAGCTTTTATTTGCGTGCGTGATCACGCAACGCGAATGCGTTGTTAAGCAGAAAGAAATGATAAAAATATTATTTTATCTTGTATTAGAGAAAAAAACAAAGATTTTTTTTATCTCATACAATTGTTACAATTGTTTTTCTAAATATTTACAATATTATATAATTTCAAAATTTTTAATAGATTTCATAAAATTGAAATAATAAATGATAATATGATATATAACATATAATTAGTACATAATAAAAATGTACAACTTACGTATATAAAAATAATGCATCACAAATTATTCTTTTATTAGTCGGGAGATTGTTATCTCTCTAGATAATTTTCTTTAATTTTTTAATCCAATTAAAGGCAATTTTAATCGCGAACGCGATTAAATAATTTTCAATAAGAAGGAATTGACACTTTCTAGATTAATATTTCACAATATGCGAAATGTCTGTTACCAAGAAACCATAATTTCTTAATGAGAAATAGTAGAAGCAATTGCAATTTCCCGGTACAATTTGCTTCGCGTCATCGCGATTTCTATATGTTGCTCCACCAACAATTGCATCGAGCAACGATTTCGATCGACGAGACGGCGGCGGCATTCATTTTTTTCTGTCGAACTGCGCGTGTCGTGCAAGAGAGGCAGGGGGTTTACTACGCAACATAGTAAACATACTACACGCGTACTACGCGCGTACTATCGTTCAATCGTATACTGAATGAAAGCCGCCCGCCAAAAATTTGGAAGCTCTTAACTCGCTCTAAAAATCGATGTTTCTCAAAAAACAAAACTCACGACACGTGCATATGGCCGGGAAAACACGTAAAATTCATCTTCGGAAATATATTTAAATATAAATTGTGTAGAAAACGAATAAAAATTGCGCAATTTTATCCGCGAGCATGTGTCGAATTATTTTCATTCAGAATTTCACAAATAGTGCAAATAATAATACGATTTTATCGATCGACACGCATGTATTTTGAGAGAACATAATGCATATATCGCACACTTCGAGTATATTGTCCGTGTATTTAAGATCCGATTTAAAATCATCCGATATAACTTGCGTGCACTTTTTACACGCTAAATGTGAAAATTAAATTATTTTGAATTATCCGCAAAGAATAAATCAAGAGTAAAACATTTAAACGTCTCGGTGGTCCATATGCGAGAAATCGATGAACCACCTAAGGTGCCTAAGACCTCGTTCGCACGTGACGAGTTCGACGCAGTTCGCATCCCCACGAAAATCTCTGGCGTGCGATGAGACTCTAGCTGGCGCGATCAACGCAAGCCGAATCGCACACATGACATGACGTTCAAAGCGTTCGGACTGCCACGTGACAGAGTCGCGCGGAATCGCGTACGAATAAAAAAAAAAAAAAGAAAAGCCAGAGTGCACGCCGGAGCTTCATGACCGGCCACGTTCCACTACTACGAGAGGGGATGGGGAGGCGAAAAGCGCGATTTTTCGCTTTTGTCTCTACTCACATTTCTTGCTCTTCTCGCCGACGGCGGTGCCCGACAGCAGCCCGAGGACGAGGGCGACGATCAGCAGGGCGGCGCGCATCCCCCCGCGACGCGTCGCCGCGACGACCCGGCGGCGACGGCCCGCGGCCGTGCCCCAGGACATCGCCGACATGTCTCCGGTGAATCTCAGCGCGCCTCACCAGCCGACACGACGGCGACCGGCTTCTTCCTCCGCGTATTCACCGCCGCACCCGTGCCACCGACGCGACGCATAACCCGCGTGAGCCGCGACGCGAGAGCCCGGCGAGCGCGCGCGACCGTACGCGCGTCGTCGTCGCCGCCGCGGCGGGACGACCCCGAGAGCGACCCGGTGAACCCCGGAGAACCGATCGGAACCGCCGATCGCGCGACGAGTACGCGGCCGGACGACGGCAGCTACCGCCGACGACGCACGTCCCGCGAGAGCGCGGAGTACGTAATTGGCATCCGGATGATCCTCGCTGCTCAACGGGTAATCCGCGATAGCACTCGACTCGCGCGCGACTCCAAGCACTCGGGGACTACGAGGATGACCACGACGGCGAGTATGTCGACGACGACGACAACGGCGACGACCGCCGACCGTCGCTCACGGTGTTCGCGCACTACCGTCGCGCCGCTATCGATCCGCCGCTGCCGCCACCGACGAACGAACGAGCGAACGAACGAACGAACGAACGAACGAACGAGCGAGCGAGCGGGCGAACGAACGGACGGATGAACAACTCCCGTCGCCAACCCCGCGTCGACACACCATACAACTTACCCTCCTCCGACCTCACGCCACCCCCGTCAACGTACGCCATCTTGTCACGCGTGCGCCGCAACCTGTTCGAATTTTGGCGTTTCGAGCGCGGGTATTATGCGCCCCGCGACGCCGCGGAACGCGAATTTTCGCGGCGCGTGGGAAACGGAAATGCAAACGGGAGGGATGGCCAGACCAGACGGAATGTTTGCGCCTTGGATGTTTACAGGAGAGAAATAGAGGCCGACTGGCGAGTGTCTTGGGGATTCTCCTAAAATTTTCACGCCGACGGTGACGTCCGCGTGACATATTCCGACTGTCGCTATTCTTCGCTCGACGAGAACGTGACTTTCATGGGAACGATTTACTTAAAAACAAGCTCGGGGGAGATCCTGAATGTTCTCCGGATCTCCCGGCGACTTGTCGTTTGAGCTCCCAGCCACTTCTCCTCAATCCTGTTGATGGAAACGTTGTATCTTTCTTGCGTATAAGAAAACACTTGAGACAAATTATTGCCTCGAGCTTTTTCACTTATTTCTTTGATATGCTTGATATGAATGGTATCATTCTTTATACGCTATATTTAATATCTAATGTTTGATCTTCATCTCTGTTAGCTGACATTTCTAAACGCAATACGCAATCTTGCACGGAAAAAACAATTTCGATGAAGTATTTAAAAATTTAGTCAGATACAGTTCTGAAAATATTTTTTTGGTGTGCCACTTAAATAATTACACGGGATGTTTAAATTGCTAATATCAGAAATTTTTTCAATGTTCTCATTATATTTAAACATGTAATATTTTATGTAATAATTTTGACGCTTCAACAAAATTATTTACAGATCTACATTCGATTGAAAAATTTTTATATACTTCGGAAATGTTTTGTATTGGGTATGTATTGTGAAACTATTCGGAATCAATTTCAATTGGAATTGTTTCCTTTTTTTTTTTTTTTTTTTTTTTAGGTAAAGTACTAATTAAAAAATTTTTACAGTGTCTTTTATTTTACAGTACCATTATATTTAACATCCAATATAATTATTTGATAATCAATAAATTATTTT